GTTGCATTCTTTGGTACAAACTTCACTTTATCAGTGACTCCACTAAAATGTGGTGGTTAGAACCGAACACAATATTCCATATATGGTCTGATTAAGGTAGAGTACAAAAGGACCATCATCTCCCTCATTCTAATTTAATCTAAGAACATATTATCTTTGTTAGCCATCATGTGAAACCAACGTCTCCTCTTCCCGCTACAACGCCTACCCAATTGTAAACTCCCATGTCATTTTTCATCTTTCAATCTCTGACACTTAGGATAAAGGTTCAATCATACTAGGTATTAATGTTTGTGGCAGACATGAATTGACTTGATTCTGCAATCCACTAAATCCCCTTGTCTTCCACAGGAATTGTTTCCTAGACATGTCTTCCACAGGCTGCACTGCAACAGTATTTCCATACTGAAAAAGGAATCTGTACAACATACCCAAGAAGTAGTCATCCGGCTGCCATTGGAAGACCCATCAAGGAGGGGGAACCTATTCTTTTCCAAAGTATCCTATTCCACTCTGGGAAAGGCCTCATTGTTAGAGAGGTTTGGTTTTTTTCTTGACATCAAGCCTAAATGTGCCTCTATGCAATTCTACTCAGTGCTTTTAGTTCTACCTTATAAGAATAAGCACAAGAAAATCTTATTCCTCTTCCACATGATACCTTATCAAGTATTTGAACACCAAGCATGACTCCCTCTCCTCTACCATCTTCCCTAAAGTCTCCTTGTTGCCAGGCTATACATCCCCAGTCCCTTCAACTGATGACTCAATCGATCAATATTTGTTAAGTAACTCCTGTGTGCCAGGCACTGTGCTGAGGGCTGGATCCTTGTACATCATGGACTCAAGGCCTTTGCCAGCCTAGTTTACCTCCCCTAGAAGCTTCTAGTTTATCAATGTCCTTCCTGAATTATGATGCACAGAAATGAAAAAGTAGTCTACATATGAATTGGACAAAATGCTGAGGGGCTCTCACACTCATATTTCTGGACACAATCCTGATGAATAAGGCAACAGAAGTAGGTAGTTGACACAGTAGATAGAAAGCTAGGCATGGAGTTAGGAATACTTGAGTTCAAATCTGGTCTCACTTACTAGCTATATGACCTTGGGCAAGTCACTGAACTTCTATTTGCCTCAGTTTCCTCATCTAAAAAATGGGGATAATAATAGCATCTCTACCTCTCAGGTTTGTTGTGAGGATTAAATGTGAAAACATCCGTAAAGCACTTATCACAGTGTCTGCCAAATAGATGCTACATAAATCTAGATAGATATTATATACACGTAAATTGCTATATGTTTATATATATCATGTATGATATGTATGATATGTGTTTATATATATATCAATGTAAACCAATATTACATTAGCTTTTTAGCTGATGATTCATAATTAATCTTCTTAAATAACTTATCTGCAATTTGTGTCACTGTTGAGTGAACACTAACCCCTTCCTCTATACAAAAGGTTCTTAACTATTTAAAAAATGTTGATTACTATATTTCAATATAATTGGTTTTCTTCATAATCTTATGCATTTTAACTTGCACATTTAAGAAAACTATTCTGAGTTCATAGGTTTCACCAGACAGTCAAAAGCATCCATGACATAAACAAAGCTTGAGAAGCTCTGCTCTAGATTCTCTTTTCATACTTGGTTTCAATGATATAAAACCCTCATGGCTCTCCTCCCACTTCTCTGACCACTTTTTCTTCTAATCTCTTCATCTAATCCCCTAATTATGTTCCCCAAAGCTGTTTTCAAACATCCTAAGTTTTCCCTCATATGCTCCATTGATTTTTTCATCTATTCTCATAGATTTAACTGTGGCTTTGCATAGAACTCCTGAATATATATAAATCTATCCAAACCCCCAACCTCTCACTAGCTTCAGTCCAGAATCTCCATCAACTTGATGTTCATACCTGTATATCCTAGAAATATTACTTCTAATCATCATCACAGTAATAATAACGCTGAGTATTTATATGGTGCTCTAATGGCTACAAAGTGCTTTGCATTTTACAGCTAAGGAAAAAGCTGAGTGACATGAAATGACTTACACAAGGTCACACAACTAGTAAATGTCTATAACCAGATTTGAACTAGGTCTTCCTGACTCTAAGTGCAGTACCCTACCTACCACACCACATCACTGCTGATCCTTTGTGCAACTCAAGTTCAAGAGACTGTCTCCAAATGCAATTCAATATCTAAATTCCAAAACCAAACTCATCTTTTACCCTAAACTGGCCCTTTATCCTAATTTTTGTACTAATGCATAAATGTTATTACCATTTTCTTATGTTGCTAGGCTACAAATCTCTAAGTCATTTAACTGTTCTCACTTCACCAATTAGATATTGTCAATAGCCAAGTCAGTCTTGGTAATCCTAACCTTTGCAATATCTTTGCAAAACCTTTTTGCAATGACAAAAACTTTGCAATATCTCTTACATCTATCCCTTCTGTATTCTAACTAACACCACTCTTAATTCATTTCCTCATTACTTTGTACTCAGTTTGTTGAAATTACCTTTTAACTGCCTCTAGTGTCTCCCCATTCCAATTCATCCTACATAGTGAAGGTTACACCAGAGCAATCTTTGGGATGTATATTTTTGATTACATCACTCTACTTCTCAAAAGCATGGCTCCTCACTGCCCAATGAATTGACTCTAAATACTGTTTTATAGTATTGACAAAGCCCTCTATAATCAAGTGTCAGCCTATGGGAGACAGTAAGCAGCAAATATCAAGAGAAATTATATCTAGTCCAAAGTTAGTTAATACTTAACCTTTTAACCTTGAACAAGTCGCTAAAAAGTTCTTAGTTTCCTCATCTATAAATTGAAAACATTGTACCAGATGAAAAATCTATTATACTACTTTCCCACCCATATCAAATAGTATTCCTTTCACAAGTTTTGTGATCATGTCAAATGAGACTATTCTTTATTCCCAAAAGTTAGCCTATCCATCATGCATTGTCATGCCACGTTTTATTCTCGAGACAAACCAACACATTCCCCAATGACTACTTGTTGAAATACTATCCATCTTTTAAGGCCCAGATTTATTACCACTTTCTCTATATATTTTCCATTATCAGCAAATCCTTAATTTGTAATGGATCTCTTACAGCTCTTTTGTACCTTTCTTAAGTGTTTATAATACCTTGCTTTGTGTTTCATGTATATTCATGCCTTATCTTGCTGAGAGCAGGTATTCTATATCACTCATCTTTGCATCACTCAAACTGTTTTAATATTTAATAGATGCATAAGAAAAATCTAATGAATTAAACTGCTGGTTTTCCCCTATTCATTAAGTACATAACTTAGCATACCAGAAAAGCCTGGATCACAAATTTCCAAATAAAAAAAAATGTATTTTTTCCTGACCTCTTTAGATTTATTCAAAGAATTCTGTTGTCTATATTCTATTTTATGACTAATAGCACTGGACTTGACAATTCTTGAGAATGATACGGAAGATACACCTTCTCTATATGTTGTTTGTATGTATTTATTTATTTACATATAAATATATACACATATATCATATGAAGCCACCAGAAGAGTAAGAGGGAGCTATCAGGGTGGCAAGGAAACCTAAAATTATGCTATGCAAAGTCAAGTTAAAGGAACTAGGAATGTTTAATAATCTGAATATTTTTATTTTTAAAAAGGCTTATAAAGAAACATGTTTCTAGTACTTAAGTGGTTGTCACCTTGAAGAGGGATGAAGTCTCTGCTTCACTCCAGAAAGCAAATCTAGGAGCAATAGGTACAGAGAGGCAGACTAGTTCAATAAACTAAAAACTTCATAATAGTTGGAGCTTTCCCAAAATGGAATGGGATATCTCTGTAAATAGTGAGCTCTTTGTCACTAGAGTTCTTCAAGTATAAGCTGAAATACCATTTGTTTAAAATACATAGAAGGAATTCATACTTCAGGTATAGCGTAGAATAGATGTCCTTCATGGTTTAGGATTCAATGATTCTACAAGTTTTCTTTTGTTGTGTTTTTTTTTCCTAGTATACTAATGAATCTGTACCTGGTCCATCCCATTTCTCTCAAAATCAATGGCAAGTAATTCAAATTTAGCTAGCAGAACTCAAGAGGGCGCTGTATATCCAAACCCACCTTGGAACCAAATATGAAGCCTAGAGCAGAAGAAAGATAGCTGATGTACCTAATGGAAGAACATATGTTCTAATCAGTCCCCCAGCAAACATTTATTAAGCAAGGACTACGCGGCAAGCACTGTTCTCCAAGTAAACATCAGAAACATGACAAGAATATTTTTCACATTTAATCTCAAAACTCTGCAATTTATTATTTGGTCTTTACTCCTCTGGAATTTTCTATTGTTTGTTATAGATCACTGGCGTTAAGAACTATAGGTTCCTTGGCTCCCTTTATAGCTATTCTGGCCTCTGGGCATTTCTAAACTACAAAATCTTCCTTACCCTATCATTAGCAATTCTACAGCTGTCAAGAGTTATAGAGTTTCTTGAAGTAAAAACACTAACTTATCCATGCCAAGCTCTTAGCTTTTCCATTAGTGCAGGAATTATTGGGCTAAATCCATATGGGACCCTGAGACCCATAAAGTACACAGGAGAAACATCCCTAAAATTTCATTTTCATACATTTTGGAGCTGGTTCCTTTCCAATTTGCTGAGTGACAAACAGAACAATTTCTCTTCTTGAATCCTTGATAACACCCTTATTTTCAAGGCTCAAAAAGAAGGCTTCCACTTCCCAAGAGGCAATTTCCACAGACCGTCTCTCAACGCACTTCTTCCAGGCATTCAGCATTGCAAAATATGCCACCATGTTCATCACTGATATATATGAAATCATCTATGTGTGCTCCACAACATGATGACAGATAAAGTCTGTTCAATCTAAATTCCTTCCTTCTCTGCTCCTGTTCCTTGAGAGTGGGACTGAGGGAAAAAATAGACTTTTATTTCTATTTTGCTTACCCTGAGACATGCAGCATCAGCAGTATGTAGAAGACGAAGAAGAGGTTGTGGGTATACCAGAAGATGTCATAATTAGAAACCCTGAAAAACAAATGTTTGCATTTAGTACTACTGCATATATTCTACTCTACCTAAAAGACATATGCATGGTTCCATAAATATAACACTTTTAAAGATGCGTAAGAATAGAGTGAATCCTAGATTTGATGTATTAATATAAAAGTATGGCTAACACATTCAACAGCACAGAGAAACAGAAATCAACTACATGGTTTATGGTTTATCTACTTAAAGCCATCCAGGATATTACAACATTAAGTACAAATGTAACTAACATAAATGCTGCTGTTGGGTGTGCTGATAATGTAGGAGGAAGGAATTGAAACTGAGACTGCTGATTAATTCAGTATACCTATTTTTTATCTGTACACATGCTTGCTGTCTTTTCTTTTTCCCTACTTTATAATGATTTTTTTAAATGTGTAGCGTGTTCAATTGTGTCTGACTCTTCATGAGTCCGTTTGGGTTTTCTTGTCAAAGATAGTGGAATGGTTTGCCATTTCCTTCTCCAGATCATTTAACCTATGTGAGGAAACTGTAGCAAAAAGGGTTAAATTACTTGCCCAGGGTGACACATCTAGTATGTGTCCAAGGCTAGATCTGAACTCAGGTCTTCCTGATTCCAGGCCTGGCACTCCACCCACTGCGCCCCCTAGCTACTCACACTGTTTAACATAGCCAATGAAATTACAGTGACATTTTATGTCAAAGAGGAAATTATGAAATGAGCAGGTCATTAATTTTTTTTAACATTACACAAAGTGAGAACAACAGGTCTTAGAGCCAAAGGATATATTCTAAGACATGTTTAGATTAAATTACATAACAAATGAACACAAAAGGGAACATTCTGGAAGGGCAAAATAGGAAGTTGTATAGTTACTTGAAAGAAAGGAAAGAAAAACAAGGATCTGCCTATGCTGGGAAGATAAATCACCCATGGTAGAATATAAGTGAATGATAAAAGATTGTAGATTTAAAGACAGAAGTAACATAAGAGGACATCTAGTCCAAATTCCTCATTTTACAAATGAAGAAATAGAGGTTTAAAGACTTGTCCAAGGTCACACAGATAGTAAATGTCAGAAGTAGGATTTGAACCCAGGTTCAAATATCTCCAAATCCAGCACTCTTTCCAGTATACCACACTATCTCACCAGTTTGGGAAGGACCTTAATATTTAGGGCAAAATGAGTCCTATAAGGAGTCTGTAAATTAGCCTAGAAAATAAAAATTGATACTACAAATGCAATAAAACAATGAAACATAGGGAGAAACAAAAGTCACATTATTCAAATATATCTTTGTCATAATCAGTGACTAGTACATAAATGATGATTAATAAATGCTTATTCATTTATAAACATTTTTTTCATATGGAGGGTCAGTACACATTGAATAAAATCAATAACTAAAAAGGAATTAGATACAGAGGATTACTAGAACATTTAGTGAACATACAAAACTATCAGACAATGGCACATGGTGGGGTCCACAACTACAGTGGACTATAGATTATCTTTAAAATATATTATTTAAGATTACATAGGAAGATATGTGACTTTAACAGCACAGTGGCTTTGGCTAGGGAAACTGAATCCACCAACAGAGATTATAAACGTCTGCAGAAAGCAGATAAGTCTTAAGTGTTCCCCAAAGGCATGTATAACAAGGCATGTAACTTAAACTACTATCAGGGTGACTTCCACCAGATTCCATTAATCAATGTCCTTTCAGTACAGGTATTCAGCCAATAATCAATCTGCCCAACTATATACCAGAATGCAACCCATCTTTCTCCATCTTGTCCACAAAAATGTCATATGAGACTTTGCCAAATAGCCATCTCATTTCTAGATGGCCTAAGTTTATGGCATTTCCCTGATACTCTGGCCTAATGATGCTACCAAAAATAAAATTAAAAGGAAATACGGCTATATGGGCATAACTGTCTTATTGAATCTATGCCAGCTACTAGTTATCACCCCTTCAATTTTTAATATCAATTTTAAATGGCATCAGATATTTAATAATGTGTTCTAGATTTTTACTAGGGATTGAAGTGATATTTATTGATCTGTAAATATGTAAACTTAATTTTCCCATTTAAAGAACTCCACAATTGTCCATCTCTAATTATCTGTCACTTCTCACCTCCTCCATCATTCCTCCAAGATTTCCAACTGCAGGTCAGTCAATTCATAAGTATCTCTTAAGTACCTACTATGTGCCAGACATTGTGCTAAGTGTTAGGGAAACAAAAAGAGGTAAAAAAAAAATCCAGTCCCTCCTGTCAAGGAGCTCATCTTTATTTGGATAACATGCAAATAACCATGTACAAACAAGATATATACAAGATAAATAGAAAATCTCCAATTAGAGATTGAGGACTGAGAAAAGTTTCATGCAGAGGGTGGAACTTCAGCTGAGATTTGAAAGTAGCCAGGGAATTCAGGAGGCAGAAATGGGGAAGGAGAGAGTTCCAGACATGGAGGATAACCAATGAAAATTTCTGGAGTTGGGAAATGAAGTGTCTTGTTCAAAAGAAGTAGGGAGGCTAATGTTGCTAGATCCAAAAATCTGTGGAGTAAAGTAAAGTGTGAGAAGACTGGAAAAGTAGGAAGGGGAAGGTTCTGAAGGGCTTTAACAGCCAATCAGCACATTATATTTGATCTTAGAGGCAAGAGGGAACCACTGGAGTTGACTGAGTAGGGGATTGTGAGGAGTGGGGAAAGGTTAACAGTCAAATTTGTACCTTTGCAAGATGAGTTTGACAGTTGAGTGGAAGTCAGGTCATCTTGGGGAGAGCCTTAAGTCAAGGAGACCAACCAACAAGCTGTTGCAACAGTCTAAGCATGAGGTCATGAGGGCCTTCACAAAGATGGTAGCAGTGTCATAGAAGGGGGCATATATGAGAGTTGTTACAAAGGTAAAAACAACAAGATGACAACTGATTAGATATCCATGGCGAGAGAAAGAGGAGACAAAGCATCATACCTAATTTGCAGGCTTGGTTGATGACTCAAGGAAAAACTATGGTCTAGCAGATGTGTCAGATCTTTAGGATATAGATCAACTGGGCTTAAATGCTTAAAGAAGCAGCTCTCACAAGAGAAAGAGTGTAAACTTGAGAATTAGAAGACCTGGGGTCAAATCTTGTCTCTGGTACTTACTAGCTACGTGCCCTTAACCCACTTAACATTCATGGGTCTCAGTTCCCTCATCATGAAACAAGGAGGCTGGACTGGATACCTCTGAGATCCCTTCCTGCTCTAGCTCTTTGATCCAGTGAGTCATGATTAACTGTGCATTCTTTGACTCTCTTTGGCTATCTTTGGCTTCATTTTCCTGTTAAACTTTTTGTTATTTCCTTAAGTCTGAAGACTGTCCATCTCAGTAGAGAAGCTAGGAGCAAAAGAGGAAAACAAGTAATAATAATTTCTCTTTGTCATCTGTTAACATTATATATTACACACAAGGAGTGGGCCTATCCCTTCCTTGTTCTTCTTACTTTGCATGTATTATAAAGTCCTTTTTTTTTTTAGGCTTTAACCATTCTTCTACCAAACACTAACTTAACTCAGTTTTTATTAGCCTTCTTGAGATTAACAAATCTTGTGTTTACATTTTTCTAGCAAGAAATAAGGAAGAAACCTTCTTCATGAGTTATTCAGATTTTACTCTAGATTCATAACATGCTAGGCATAGACGTTTAATAATAACTCCTATTTATGCAGCAGTTTCAAGTTTGTAAAACACTTTAACACACACGGTATTATTTGACACTTGCAACAACCTTATGACTGTGTTATTATTATTCCCATTTTATAAATTAAAAAAAAAATCACCGAGGTTAAGTGATTTGCCTAGGGCAATACAGCTAGGACCTGCCTGAAATGGGATTTAAACTCAGGTTTTCCTGATCCCAAATCCAGTGCTACATCCAGTACTAATGGTATTCACCATTGTAAAGGGACTAGATTGTGAAGCAATTCCACCCTTAGTTACCAGTTAAGCCAATTTACAGGCATCTACTAAGCACCTACTATGTACCAGACACTGTGCTAAGTGTTGGGGATATAAAGAAAGTCAAAAACAGTCCCTGTTCTCAAGGAGCTCATAATTACATGGAAGACACAACATGCAAATAACTATGTTCAAACAAGTTATATATATATATATATGATAAACTGAAGAGAGTCTCCAATGGGCAATTGAGAACGAGAACTCCAACTTTTCAGGCAGGGCACAGAAGAGAATCTAGTTATGCAGACTCCTGATCTCATTCTCATTCCATTCATAAAATCATAGAGAAACTTATAATATGAAAGGAACTCAGAAAATCAAAGGTCATTCTAGTTCAAGTGGTACCTGAACAGGAAGCACTTCTACAAAATTCCCAGTAAGGGGTCATCCCTCTTCCAATTCAAGGCCTTCAGTGATGGAGAATGTATGATTTTTTTTTTCCATTTTTGACGGTTCTAATTTTTAGTTTTCTTTTTATTGAGCTGAAATCTGTCTTTCTACAACTTCTACCCACTGCTCGTATCATTCCCATCGCTGGTCAACTAAAACAAATCTAATATCATCTCCCCATAAAACCTTTCCAAAATTTTAAAACTGTTATCAAGCTCTCCCTAAACTTTTTCTTTTACATTAAATCCAGATTCATCTAGGTCAGAATTAATATGAATAATGAATCTCCTGAAGTAGTGACATATATTTGAATTTGCATTACTCAAAGTCATAATTACATAAAATATTATAATTGTTTCTAGCCAAATGGAAATATACAGTGGGAATTTGAATAATGCAACCACTTTGGAGAATTGTTCATTCATACTAATTGGGACCTAGCTATATAGTACAGTGCCTAGTTCCCTCACTGTTCTGTGTTGTCCTCTGAGCATTACATCTTGTCTACATCCTTCCTAAAAGGTGGTACCCAGAACTGAAAGCAGTGTTCTAGGCATGGCCTGACAGGAGAAGAGTACAAGAAGATGATCTTCTACCATTCATCC